CTCTGCGCATGCGCGAGTGCGGGGCAAATCTAGCATCACTGCACCAAACTGCCATATAAATTGTATGGGATCCGGTGGTACCAGCATTTGTGGCGCTCTCTGAAAAGTCTTGTTGGTAAAATGGAACTAAATTTAACAACTGCACAATGTAGTCGCGTAGGCCTGTTCTACAATACTATCGTAAGCTTTAAGTCGTAAGAAATTGACCAATCACAGACAAAGTACAGAAGAATAATCGATTGTGATTTGTCAATTTCTTACTGTTACGGCCTACAACTCTCCACTGTAGACGACCCTTAAGAGCTAATCAGGTTCGATTGCTTGCGAAGCAGCTTGTTCTTGCTGAACGCAGCCAATCGATTTCTGGTAACATTTGTGAAATATCTATGTCTACATCGATATGATTGGTCAATCAGAGCAAAAGACCAAAATGTATCTGTGTATTCTGATTGGTCAGTCCAAAGAGAAGACTATTCCATTCGATGAGTAGGGTTTTTCATGGCAGAGCTACCAATCTGAAGACGCGCGCGCACAGGAGGAGTTACCGCTACGAGAAAATCGTCTGCTCGAAAGCATTCTGACACATTCTGTGACATCACGCGTTCGTGACAGTTGGTGAATCACGAGTCCTTGAGAGCCGTGAGTGTTCTCTGACGTTTTTATCGAATCGCGTCAGATATTCTCAAGTGGCTGTCCACTTGAGAGAATAACAACTTCGCAAATTGGGAGAAAAAATTTTCCATTCCGTGAAATTTTCATCGAAGAATCCGAATCTCGAACTCATCTCCGAGTCTCTCGTAGGATGTGCGTGTCGGCGAGCGCGTTGAATCGGCGAGGATTCGAGATGATTTCGAGAGAGATCGCGCGATTCAACAAACGGTCGTATTACTCGAGTCGCGACAGATTGTTCAACATGTTGTCGTGCTGGTACCCCGTTTCATCTTGCGTGATTTCGCGAGTCCCGAGCCAGTATTGCGAGAGCTGCAGGATGTTCTCTTCCTCGACGAAGATTCCGAGGATCTCTTCCGAGGAGATCGCCGAGGCTCTGACAAAGCAACAGGCGAAGGAATTGACGTCTAAGCTCACCTCGGAGGAACGCGCTCTCTTTTTGGCTGCCCTCAAAGAGTTCAAGTCCGAGGAAGACAAGGCTGGTTTTGAAGGTAACGCTTTGTAAAAAGCTCTTGTGTGTTGTACCCCATTTTGCACCATCGAGAGAGTGAACACTTGACTTAGTTAGAACATCACGAAGAAGATATTGATATTGACATCACTTCTCTCTCCTGTGTGTTTTTTCTTATCAGGTCAATTGGCAGCTATTCGATGGAGAAGCAAGTTCGGTAGACCCAGCAAACTACCGTCACTGGGTGAGGTGGATCCTACGGGGACTTACTGCCCCGTACCGGATGACTGGTTAGATCGCAAGTACGGTAAGAACATTTTGTTTATATAGTTGTTACACGTATTGTTCGTTTTGTTGGCTCGTCTGAGAGAGACTGCTACAAAGGAAATAAGCGCAACACAGAATTCTATCAAAATAATCTCTAAAAATACGATTTTTTTTAACACAGTTTGTCAAAGTTCATAAAAATTTTATGAACATTAACTTAGATTTATATTACCTATAGATCTCGCAAAATAAAATTAACATCCTCGACTGTAATTTAATGGTATCTTTGGATATAATGGAATCTTTTTCCCGCAATGCGATCTCCATGGATGTTATTATGTAAGTTGAACTCTTGTTCTCTGTTTCTCAGTTTATAGTTTTTTTTTTTTTCTCTTTCTTTCTTCTTCTCTAATTACACTAACTCTCTCTCTCTCTCTTTCTCTCTTGTGCTTGTTCCTCCTATTCTGACACAACTTTTTGGATGTTTCACGGTCAACCACAGTGCCACAGTTAGGTAATTAATTTGGACACTTTTACAAAAAGTTTCTTCCTTCTAATTTTCTTTCTTCCACTGTGGAAACTAAGTCTGTTTCCCAAAAGATTTTTGTTTGTTTGTTTGTTTTTTCAATATTTCACGCTTATTTTTTATTTATTAAGTAATCGTTATTGTTATCTCGGACAAAATAATTGTTTTCACATCAATTTGTTAAAAGATTGTTTAGTTACAGCTTTTTTGTTTTTATAAAGATTTTTTTCTATTCTCTTCTTCTTTTTTAACTCTCGATACTATTGGTAAATAAAAATTTCCAATTTATTGTCTGGAGCAATAATTATTCAACAACTCTCACGTTAATTTGTTTCTTTGTAAAAACGTTTCTTCTTTCCTTTTCTCCAGAACGTTTGTTTTTTTTTTTTTTTTATTGAAGAACACATGACTTCTCTCAACTTTTTCTACGATAAGTTTTCTACAGGCGATATTAAAGTATAAACGAGTAGTAGAATAAACGTGCTTTGTAGCTTTTAGTGCTTGTTTCTACACAATTGCATAACATTAATTCCCGCTTAAAATGACGACTTGTGGATTTATATCCACATTTTTTTTTATTGCAGTTGAAACCGTTCCAGAACCAACTACGAAAGATATGGTGCTAGGTACGTGATTACTTTCGTAATATACGATGTTTCATTGTCACGGATTGTGAATGAATATCTTAAACGTTCACTGTGTTGTTGCAGTCGCTATTGCGAACGCGATCCCGTTTGTTGGATTCGGTTTTCTCGACAACTTCATCATGATCGTTGCCGTACGTATCTTACGGGTTTTCATTGTTCCCTGCGTATCGACTTTTACGAACGACATTTCAGGGCGATCAAATCGAGTCGATGTTGAACAGAAGATTTCCGATCTCGACAATGGCAGCGGCTGCGCTGGGTAACACGGTGTCCGATGTCATTGGAATCGGCTCGGTACATTACGTCGAGATGTTCGCGCAAAAAGTCGGCTTCGAAGGGCCCAAGTTGACACCTGCGCAGCTGAATCTACCCAGAGCACGGATAGCTGCAAACATAGTACGTGCGCATTCGTATTTTTTTTGTAAAAAAAAAAAAAACAAAAATCTATTTCCACAAAACTGTGTATATTTTGAAGATTTTTTTTTTTTTACGTCACAATTTTCACAGCTCAGATTACAAATTCTCGAAAAGACGTCGAAAAAGTTTGAAAATAAATTACGATCCCGTGATAAATTGTTTACAATGTGAGATAAATAAAATTTGTTTTTATTGCATTTTATAACAGCGTTTTTTTTTTTTTTTCTTTCTTTCAAAACACAGGGTCGAGTTATTGGAGTTACGATTGGATGTTTGCTTGGTATGACACCTATACCGATAGCCGCGCTTTACCGCGCCATTAGCTGAATTACCTGGAAAGCGGCCGAAGAACAAAGTCGACTTTAAGTATTAAAAACAAAAAAAAATGTAATAAAAATAACAAATTATGTGAAATAGTTCGCAAAGTATCACAACAGTAACAAGCGCTTTACACACGACGGCTATAAACCTATGATTTATTGTTCATCTGTCGCCATAATACCATTTTTGTCACATTAGCGAGAATATTGCATCTATTGTATAAAATGTATAGAATGCATACAAATAGTTAGAAAAAAAAAAAAAATCTAGTACATGTGTAACATACAGTTGTTGTTAACGATCGAAAAATAACGAGGCTTATGTAAAATTCTCATTGTGATATTAACTCCAGTACAAATTCTATTAATTTTAAGCTAATCGAATTAAAAAAAATAAAAAAAAAATAAAAAAAAAAAAAATAAAAAAAAAACTTTCGCTTCTTGCGAAACAATTCGGTGTGTGTTTAACGAATCCGTAGGCCACTAAACGCAAAAAATAAGTTTATCGTACTCAAAGAAATTAATAATACAAATTTTTTTCTTGTGAGACTCACCCTCTGAATTTTAACAACGAAATGACGCGTATCCGCGTCAGTTTTAGATGTAAAACGAAAAGAACGTTTGCAAAAAAATAAAGCACCGAACATTTATTGGAAGAATGCGTTTTTGTTAGTATCCGCCTAATGTTACATCGCAAAAAGTTAGTACAAAAAATATAGATATTTATGTGTGTGTGTGTGTGTATATATATATATATATGTATACATTTTCCGAAAAGCTCTCTAACCGTGCGTTAAAGCTGTTACATCACAAGCTAATAATAAAACTTTGCTGGTAATCGAAAAAAACTTTCGTGATGCAGCTGGTGCGATTGTCGCCAGTCTTGCATAAACCAGATCGACGCCGTTTCCTTCCAGTTCACGTTGCGACGATAATCCTCCGGTGCAAAATCCTCCGTTTTTCCTATCTTCTCCATCTTTCCTATCTTCGCGGCCGTCGACGAATTGGACGAGAAATCAGGGTTGTTGACGCACCAATTGTCGGTAAAATTCGTGACCTCGATGTCGCTTTCCGAAGTGCTGTACTCGGGCAACCAAATCATCATCGAGTTTAGCCACCATTGCCAGCTGGCTACATTGTCATTATTGTCAATATCGGTTTCCACGGATTCTGCGCCCAAACAATCCACAACGCTCTCGTCGCAGATCAACGAGACGGGTATTGCGTTCTCGATTTTCTGAGACTGCACGTTTATCAGTGGTTCAGGTAAATCAGTCGACGTGAGATTTGCTCGTAGATTTGCCGGCTGTCTCGAACCAAACGACGTTCCCAAACAACTTTGCACAACGAAGTGAGCGACCAGAGTGGAACCCAAAAGAGTCGCTAAGCCAGCGGCGTACGTCGCCAGACAGATCGAGGAGACGTTTATTATGGTTCGCGCGATTTCAATAAGCTGGACAGTATTTATCAAACAGCTCAACTCCGTATAGGAACACCATCCTCGTTTTTGCACTTCTCGATACGCCACGTCTTTTTCCAGCTGTTCCAATCTCTCCCAGAAGTCTTGCTGTTGCACAAACACCATCCAATCCTGTTGTCATAAATGTTGAACGTCTTAAAATTACGCGAGAAACGGATACAGTCTGAACGTTTTTTTTTTTTTTTTTTCTGAAAACTATGACGCTTACAATTGCAGCGAGAAATTCCTTCTCCAATTTGTTCATTCGCGATATAGTCACTTGTCCGGAATTCGCCCACTCCTTGTTGAAAACCTCATCCTCTTCGCCGTCATCGTGCAAAAACTTACTAGCCACCATCTATGGTATCGTTACAATATCTTTCAATATTCAAATTATTTGTAGAAATAAAAAATTGAGTAATAATGATGATGATGGCAAACCTACCAGAGAGACTAAGAATAGCTCAGACGGTGCTACTTGCTGAAGGTACTCGGAGTTACAGTTCTTTAATCTTTCAATGTACAGCAGAGCCAGTACAAGCGAACAAGGAGAGACACACGCGTTTCTAGAAATTCTACTCGCTTCCTCCACATCGAGTTTCTCCAAAGAGTAACCGTGTTTTACTTCTGAAAATAACTCCGCTGCTAATTCTGAAAAAAATCAATGTTTATGAATTTTGTCCTTAAAATTAAAATTCACAATACAATTTTTGCACAGTGATATCTCTTTGAGTTTCAAAGTACTGACCAGTAACTGGCAAACTTAGACAATTAATCTGTGGTAATTTAGAATAGTACAACGACTTCTTTATATGATTCAAAAACTCCGTATGTTCCAGATCCTGCAACAGAAATGTGAAGAAAAAAACCATGAAGAGAATGTTTATTACCATTTGATATCTAAAAAAGTTTTAGAAAATAATTATAAAATCACACATTGAAGATACGTATGACGGATATACCTTCGAATTTGCTGGGCCTTTCGTGCCTTGCCAGCTGTTTGCCATTATTAAATACCCACCAAGTACAGCGTACAACTTATTTACAGTTCTGGTATTATAAACGTGACAATTAAATTCAATGTCTAAAAAAAAATCACTTTTAAGATTTACGCGATATAAAATTTTGTAAAATCGTGAATTTCCAAGCAAAACTCAAATTGAAACGTAATTTCGAAGCGCGTGATGTGCGCAATAATCTAGGTTATGAACATACCCAGAGAGAAGAATGAGAGCGGCTACGGTCATACGAGAATGTGTAGTAATCGCTTTTGATTGACTGACGTGACCAACGTGATTGGTCAATTCCGTAAGATCTCTTGCAACCCGCGTCTGAAAAAAGTCCACACCAGGGCTGCGGTCCGTTTCATGCTTAATCGCGCATTTATCTATAGTATATGTCACGTATACTATGGATAAATGTGCGCTTAAGCATGAAACGGACCGCAGTCCAGGAGTACGTTCCAAAATCTTACCTTGGTAACCGAAAACTATAGTACACGTGACGTGAAATATATCATTTTAGTAATCAAGGTAGAATTTTGGAACATACCTCTGCTGTGAGAGGCTCTCTACACTCGATTCAAATAGAGAAGAGAATTTCGACGGACAAAAACGGGTTCGTGTTTCGCGCACTTCTCCTACAAAAAAGTCTCCTCACTCCACAGCCATTGGCTGTTAGCAAGTGTCCCGCCAATCCCGCACGCAACACTATCCCTACACTCTGCCCGCTTCTCCTATGCGCAAGTAAAATTCTCTTCTCTAATTGAATCAAGTGTAGCGCAGTTTTTATATCCATGGTGCAGCCTACCGAATTCGCTGTTAGAGCGCGTTGATGCGAGTAGGAGCACGTTGGGGCATGCGACGCGAACAAACTTAATGAATTACGCCTTAAAGTTGTCTAAAAGTGTGTTGGTCTGCACGACTTGCAGTAGTTTGCACGTGTACCGTAACGTCTTGTATTATAAAATATATGCAAATTGCATACAAAATTGACAAGATAGAGTGTAAATACTTATTAATTAAATATTCAACGCAGTTATCGAATATCGTTAAATTATCGTTAATTATACAAACTAGTGAATATGACTTGTCAGTCGACGGATTTAATCGCATCAATCATTGATGAAATTGCCTTGGAAGGGTTAGACGGTATTACTTTGCAAGGTATATGTCATGTATAATATTGATTTGAATAATAATAATACTATTTTTATTAATGTAAATATAAAATATTTCGGAACTTGCCAAATAAATTGGCATAAGTTACTACGCAGAAAATTGCTATAAAAATATTTATATTTTTTTATAAGAAAAGTACATTTTACACTATTGTCAATTTTGTATGTATGTTATTTTTTTTTTAGCGTTATGGCTACGATTAGCAGCAAGATTTAATGATCCGTTGCCACTTCCCAAGGGTTTCATGGATCAAGTATGGTTAATATGCAAAAAAGTGAAACACTTTTCATTTTACGAATTAGAAACACCAAGAGAACCACTTGTTTTGTTCAATCGTTACGATCATGTGCATCCTGATTTTGGCATCATATATGAACCAGTGAGTATGTTAAGGATATAGTGCACATTTGCTTTTTTTTTTGTTTTCTTTTTATATGGAGAGAATCCTTTATGTGGATATCTCGACTTCATGAGACAGGTTACGTGGAACTTTCTTGAAGAGGTATATCCACTAAAACCTCCATGATATGCCAAACCAGTTGTGTTATAGGAGAGGACTTCCGATCCTCTATCGGATTGCACAAGGATAGTGCACATATACTTGTATTGAACCTGATTTGAAAATTTTCCCCAATAATTTTTCCTTATTTCTACAGATTACAAATATCTTTTTTAATTTATCACAAATAAAAATCTTTTGTCTTCTTTATTTCAGCCAGATATTCCACCAGACATTTATCCACATTGTCCTATTCAGGATCGTAAAACAGGCGACAGAGGTTCTTGCTCTACATATTACACAAGAAAGAATATCAGAGATGAGATAAACAATTTGAATCTGGATGAGGCGATAGAAAAGTATGGAATGAAATTGGTGATAGTGGCTTCTCAGCAAGTTAGAATGCGAGCTTTAGTGGGCAACACTGTAAGTCCAACGTTAGAATTGACGCTCATGCATTACTGCTTTTTGGAGAGAGTCGGAAGATCTCGCTACCATGGCGAGGTGACTCAGGGCAAGCTTAGTTTAACCGCTCTCAAATTGGATCCAAAGAAATTGTTTTATCACCGAAAGAGTCTGCTTCAGCATAAGCTGATCACAAAGCAAGTTCACTATCAGAAAAGCGGCACCTATTGCGGAAGCGGCAGCTTGGTACATCTGCCGCGTTTTTACGTGGAGCAGAAATCTAAATTGATGTATCTGGCGGAAAAGGTGATTGAAATTCTAAAATCCAAACCTAACGGCACAGCCGAGTACGAGGAGATCAAGAGAAAACTTGGTCTTGAACAAATTATGAAGAAGTTGTTCAAGACTTCGTTCTTCCAAAAAATCATAAAGTCGGACGAGTTTGTGCCGTATAGGGAAATGTATCCCAATGCTGCGCCCAACGAGTGGCAAATGAAGAACGATTCTTCAAGAGAAAAGATGATTAGGGTGGTGAAGATGCTGCATCAGGACATTAATGTCAACGAGATATGGAACAGAGAAGACAAAGATGACGAAGAAAATAACGTTTACTTGGATGTGTCTCATCACAAGTTTAACGTATCTTACTTAAAGCAGACAAACGATATTATAGAGAAAAGTGAAATGGAAGGTATATCTCAAGGTTAGTGTATTCTACGTTTTTTTTACAAATTATTTTCTTGACAGTTTTTCAAAACAGAAATTATTTGTTTTAATTTACATGTGACGTTGTACAATAATCAAATATAAAATGTTGTCTTAACGCATAAAATAAGTGAATTTGTTTTTTTTTTTTCTAATTGTTGATATTATCCCGCAGGTAAATTGGGAAAGAAAATGGGTCTTACCAAACTACAATCCAGGTCGACACTGAGAAATTTAATGAAAAGTAACATTATTGCAACGTATATGCATGACGTGGGCCGTCAGAGGATCACAAAATATGTATCGCAAAAGTTTGAGAAAAACAGTAATATGAGCAAGCAATACAACAAGGAGATGCACAAAATTAAGGATTTGCTCACCGAGAAAGCAGCCAGCGAACGAGAGAACGAGAATAATCTGAAGATTGACGAACCGTTGCAAGTGAAAAATGAGATTTTCGAAAAACCGAAAGACGAATCAACAAACGATCAGGCGTCTTGTTCGAATGATCGCGTTGATCAGATCGATAATGCAACACCGGTTGTAAACGAAGACAAAGATAAAGACAATGATGAAGATACGCGTTATAATGAGAGAAAGATCACGGAGTTAAAAAGTTTATTCAACACTGTTAACAGTATTTTGCACAAGTATCGATGGTCAAAGTTTCGGTCTAAATACAAGTGTACGTCATTGAGGTTTACGTCGCGAAAAATACAGAATTCGAAAGATGATCGGAAGAAAGATAACATATGTTCTTCCGACGCTTCGTCTGAACGCACGTTGTCGAATTCTACATCAACAAAACCACAAAATTCTCAAGATGATAAGGAAAAGCAAAAAGCTCCATCTGCAGACGTGCAAAAGTTCGCGGAAGATCCCAAGACATCGTTGCTTTACAACAGTATAAAGATCAATTTGACAGAAATAGCGCAGAAACCTGTTTTTGTCGGGAAAGGAGTTGGCAAAGCGTTCAGCTTTAAGGAAGTTTTTGAAAGCAAGAATAATAAGGGAAAAAATCGCCATAACATTTCAGCCAGGTTTGTGCACATACCGTATAAAAAAATCTATGAATACATTACGCGAAAATATGAAACGTTAGTTTTTTTTTTTTTTTTTACATTTGTGTTTTAATAAAAACTTTGGGAAACTAACTCAACTGTTGTCACAGGATGTTGCGACGTGCTAATATGATTATCGAAGCGGTGAAAGAGCACCAAGTAATCGACGATACGATGAAACTCTTGAGAATGATTTACAAGGAGGAGAGGAAAGAGGGATATCACAAGAAGATAGACAAGAAATCTCTCATCAGACTGCTGCTGAAACTCGCCGCGGATAATCTGGTAAAGACCATTAAGCTGACCTTGAGCGCGAACGGGCGTGAGAAAAATTTGACTTTCATCTGTGATCCAAAACTCGATATTAATCACACCGTGATCAAATCGGCTATTGAGCAGGCGAAATACAAGTTCTGTGTGCTAGCGTCTCACAAAGCAAAGATAATTGAAAAAAAAATGAAGATGCTTGCCACCAAGAGTAAGAGAGGCAAGTCGATAGAACCTAAAGATTCCAAAGAGCGATTGCAAGATTTATCCAAGTCTGCGAAAGAGTCTAAGGACATGTTGAACTTGAAGTACGATCCCAAAGCTGGCAAGCGCTACGGTCTCAGTCCAAAGTGCATCAGGCTGCAGACGATGCACATTCTGCTTTTCTATCTGGTTTACGATCATCCAGGAACGCCCAAGTTATCTCAGGAGGAACAGCTGCAAATTCTTAGATCCAGCGGTTTTCAAATCGACGACAGTCTTGCCAAGGAATTCAGCACCATTTACAGCACCGAAGTAAACTGGAAGATGTTTCTTCCACCTTTGCCGAAGCACAACGGATGGCCTGACGGTTGGGCGTTAATGTGTGATGTTCTGCTCGGAATTCCTTTGTCGATGTTCGTTAAAGTGCACAACATCGCGTTCGATATACCAGAATTGTACCACTACTTAAATCATCCGATCAGGAAGCACTATCTCGTCAAGAATCTACCGGTATGTGAGTTTTATTTTGTAAATGTAAGCTCAAATTGTGTACAAGGATTTTTTAGTCATTTGTAGATTGTGCTTTGTTAACGCTATTGGTTTGCAATATAAATTTATTTGTTAATTGTTTAATCGTCAGATGTCTATTCGGAGCATTCTCCTGTACTCACGGAAATACATATTCAGCATCCACGATACTATAATAAGATTAGGCTACATCGGTTTGGTGCAATTCGGCCCGCAGCGGCTGAAGGACAAAGACCAGGTGTTTATTTACATAAATCGACGCACGGAACTGATGGATACGGTTTCTTCCGCGCCTGGTTATCACCAGATCGAGGAGAAAGAGTATCCCTCGACCACATATTACTTTGATTGCACACAGGTATTGTTACAGTTAATTACTGTTTTATTCCATTATAGGGATGTGACACGTATTTGTATATTTCTTGGTTTGATTTGGTAACGGCTAGGGGGCCATCAGTGCCCATACGCCATTCTACTAGTTTATTTTATTTTTTGAACGTAACGGGGGGGGGGAGATTGTGCACACTATTCTGTTACCACGCGATACACGGCCGTCTTTCACAGTAGGCGTTGCCTATATGTGTCGGGGGGCTTTGTTGGGGGGCGAGATGTTGTGTGACTTGTGATCGCCTTGTGGGAGGGGAATTAATTCGGGGATTACACCCGAATTAATTTTTGGAGGCTCGATTTAGTTCGCCGATCAACCGATAAACTCGGTTGAAGGGGAACCGACCCGGGAAAAAAAATCCTTAGGTGATAAGCGGGGATTCGAACTCGAGACCTCCGAGTTCGCAACCCCTGCACTCAGGCCGCGAGACCACTGAGCGGATATCTTGTATATTTCTTATACCATATCTTACACAGGTTGTTGAAAAATATTGGTACGACATGTGGACGATATGTGTCAATACGCCGCTGGGCGGGAGATGTGTGATGCACGGCAAGGACATCCTGCTTGAGGATATTACCAAGAAAACTGCCATGATAGAGGCGGTTGCGGCGCGTAACGCGGAGGAGGCTCCGGAGAGAGATACCGGTACCGTTCCCGGAGATCGTAAAGGAGCGGCCGGTATTGATTCAGCTTTTTTCGCGCATCTAAAACGCAACTGGAATTGGTCGTCCAATTATAACACTTCTCACCAGGTAAATTTGGCATTTTTGTTCTTGTTTTATTTTTTAATTACCGATAAAACGTATACTCGTCACTAAAATTCTTTTTATAAATCACATTATATCAGACCAAGAATGTTGCTGCACAGTCTACAATGGGACAACGTGATCTGCACTTGTCGAAGATACAAGCGAAGCCGATTAAGTACGACAGTCTGAAGAAAGTTACCGTATCGCCTAATAAGCCGTCGTCTAATATTAGCGCGCACGAACTGCGAAAGAAGGTGTTCGATCATTTCAACGAATTTGGACGGAGAAACGAGCTCTTGAGGTCGTGTCAATCCGGCAAACAGAAATCCTTTGTGCGGCGAATGATGCCGCGCAAGAGGAGCGTTCAACCGCGTCTCAAATACGACGAGGACGATTACCAGGCGATGCAACGAATGAACAAGTTGCGGGTGGATTGGGATTCGCACGAGGACAATATTCTGTTGGTGTGCAAGGTAGCGATGAAGTATCTATCGCCGAATCCGCGCAAACAGGTGATCGGGTTTATAGCGGTGCGTGACGTGTTGCGGACGTTCTCCTACAACTCGTACAACAAGACCTCGCGCGCTTGTCAACGCCGTATACTGTACATGATGAAGCAGCCGCGTACCGCGAATTACGTTGCGCTGGGTGTCGAGGAGATCAAGCAGGACAGATTTGTCAACAAACAATACGGCGGCGTGGTGAGCAAACTGAAGGATGAGTGCGCGAATTCGGCGGAATTCGAGAAGCAAATTACGGAAGTTTTTAAAGAACTTGTCGGCTACATCATAAAGAAATATTACAACATCGCGGAGATCAAACCGAAGAAGCACGCGGCAATGCCGAAGACTGCGCAAGAGTTCAATCTTCTCTTCGAAGTGGTCTATCCGGCAAAACATCATAACGAGGATTTAACAAAGGACGTGCGAAACGTGAATGATATTTATTCGGCAGTCATCAATTCTATCATACACAGTTCCATGTGCTGCGGAAAAGACAGACGTTGTTGGTCCTATCAACTTTTCAAGGTAAGATACAACTACTGTACAAATGCGCTCCACTTTACATTATTTAATATTCATTGATAATTTATTTATTTTTTTTTTTTAAAGGTATATCAACATTATCCAGAGACTCTGCTGAGACAAGCAATGACCAAGATCAGATCAGACCACATAGTGACTGTGAAGAAACATCACTTGTCGTCAGTGAAGAAGTTTGGTAACTACATGCCGATGAGCAGCTCGCAGTACCAATTAAGTCTAAATTACATATACAAATTCCAAACAAAATGGCCTTACGAAGTGTTTAAAGAAGCCTATGACATTTACGCGAAATTACTCGAGTGGTATTCGGGACTTAAAGACGTTCCCTTGCACGAGGAAGAAGTGTTTGCTGGTGCTGAGATTCGGACGCTTTCCGGCGGCATGACCATCGTTTTGCACGATCTTCTCGCGAACAATCAAATCGACTTCGACATGGAATTGCCGGATCAGGTGATTATGCTGGACGCGAGATATCAGGGCGAGACTTACTTCAAGGTAGCACAGAAGTATCAGGATATTTTGAAGAGACTCTACCGCTTCAAATACGAAAATCCAGACGCTGAGAATGTCGAGGTTTCGGAAATTGAAACGCGTGGAACGCGGAAAGATTCTTCAAACAGGAAGAGACTTCTCGGGGATGACAATTCTGAAGAAACGATTCCTCCGAAGATGCCTCATGTGGTCGAGAAATGTGACAAAAGAAAATCGACAAAGAGATGTCGGTTTAGTGAAACTGACACAGAGAAAACATCAAGTAATCGAAAGATCGAGCTTGAAGAATCGACCTCGAAAGATCATTCCAGCGCCGACGAACAAACTAAAGAAGCAAATTGTTCCTCGAGAAAGAGACATATCGATATCGAAGAAGATTCGATGGACGGCGACGAGCCGTTCGCAAAGAGAATACGGCGAAATTCCGAGGAGTGCATCAATATAGATTACGTGGACGAGGAAATGGATTCGTGCGAGGATCTCGAAAGTTTCGGAAAAGACTTAAACGTAAAACTTTGCGAACCTCTCGAGTCTTTGAAGGTAGAATTGAATGAAGAAGTGAATGAAGAAACGGCGTCAACTTCTTCGACGCAGTTGGACAACGCGATCAATCTGACCTCGGCGCCTCGACGCGTTAACGAGATAATAAATAACGTGCTGCCCGAAGCGAGTTACTTCAATTTTTACAGCAAACTCGACGCGAGCGATGCTCAGAAGAAGTACACCAGAATAGCAATGCTGAGATTGAAGAAAGATCTGAACAATTTCACGGTAACCGACAGCCATCACGCGCACGAGTACTTTGTGGTCAATACCTTCAGAATGTTTTACAAATTGAAGACCTCGTCGCTGATTGAGTCAAACGACGTTGAAAGGTTCAGAAATTACTCAATACCCAGTCAACTTGTGCCGCTTAGAATTGAGAGTATCAACAATCTTCTCACCAAGTTGAATAAATACGCCATTTTTCCGAGAAACGGCATTTCTTACAAGAACTGTAAGGAGCAAATGAGAACGAGGGAGGAAATGTCGGAAATCGAGCTTAAATATATCGACGCGGTGCACGATTTTGTCCAAGAGAAAAAAGAAATGGGAGTCAGTTCGCATGAATTACTGGTAAGTTATTGGAATTTAACGTGTCTATATAATTTTATTTTCCAACAGAGCCACGTCCAATTTGACTGATATAGGACGGTATATATAATGGTGGTAACTATAAGATTTCTTTTTTTTTTCTTTTACATTGTATAGACTTTGTTTTTCTTGCAGGACAAGTTCTTTGACGAGCAAGGAGAGGATTTGTACAAAGTTGTTTCGCTCCTGATTGAAAATCGTGTATTTTTGCGTTCTGGCGTCACCAATTCACGTTACATTCATTATCAATATGTAGACCCTTGGTTGACTCACTCCTACAAGATAAATCGCCACGAACAAGAGTCCTTGGTGTCGTTTAAGGACAGCATATACGCGACGATGTATCACAAAAAAACGACCATTGAAACGGAACGGAACAAAGAGAACAGTGAGAACCACGTAGCCGAAATAAATATTGAAACGAAACAAAATGGCGAAGAAAATGGCGAAAACCACTTGGTTGAAATGGACATTGAAACAAAACAAAACGGAGAGAATAGCGAAAACCACGTACTTGAAATGGACACTGAAGCGAAGCGGAGTCACAATGTGAATAACGTTAATCACATAATTGAAGCGGACATTGAAACGAAACGGAACGAAGAAAAGTGCAAAATACACGACGAAGAAATGGATAATGGATTTAATGTTTTAAATAATAGGGAAGAGGATAAGAAAGAAAGCGAGACTGGTAAAGAGAAGGTCACACGTACAAGTAGAAGAATATACAAGTACAGAGCGTGTTTGTCTCCGGAAGAGGATTTGTACAAACCCACGCAGCAATTGGACTTCACGTACGTATATATCAAAAGAAAAGAGAAATTCGAAGTTGTGTAATGACTCGGTGATTATGAACCAATATTGTAGGGTGTTGTGCAGTTAAATAATAGTCAATTGTAAGAAGCAAAAGAGAAATTCGTTTCTTACAGACTATAGATAATGAATATCGTTTGTTGTTTAGGAGGTATGAGGACATAACAGTAGTGACAAAGCCGTGGATTCGTATAGACGGCTTGCTGAATCGCAAGGTGCTGGATCGCATGCTGGGAGCGGTCCTGAGTTATTGCTTGCTTCATCCCGGACTTCTCATGACTAAAGTACAAACTAGATTTAGTCCCGCCCTGCAACCTTTTCACACGCGCGAGCTGGTTGAGGTTTGTTGTTGTTTCAACTATTTGCACATTTGCAAATTAATAAATATCTCTCGATATTTTTGTTTCCTTTTTAAATATTAGGTATAAACTGTTGTGCGCGCACAACTCTGCGCGTGATTTCTGTATAACTTGCTGAACTAAAAACTAGTGTCACGTATGTTTTATATTTAATGAAAGTGTTTTTTTTCTTCTTTGCAGATACTAATCAAACTGGGTTGTTTGGAGAGCAAACACTTGAAAAAGACACGTGTTACATTATTTTCTCCGCCGGCTGAGGTTAAGATCAGTAATTTAAGTACGTAAACTGTTGTCGCATCAATTGAAAATTCTCAAGTTTAAACAAAATTAATTGTTCGTTTTTTGTTTTTAGCTGCGGACACAGTTGCCTGGTCCTCCGATGACGAAGTGATGCTGGAACCTACGACAACCGCTATCCTGAGGTTCAGTACATTTTTGAGCACAAGAACGTACAGCACGGATTTTATACCGTAATTTTTTTACGCGCGTGCGAACGCGCTTTCTAGCCGCACTCTTATCCTGTAACTTTTAATGAATGTCTCACATCACGTGTCTCACGAACATAAAACATGTTTTTACGAATCTTTGTGCAGACTGTCGCAAAATATGCTGCACAACGTTACCGTGATTCACACAAGTACAAAACAACAGAGTTTGTTTAACATTTATAATAAGCTTATCGAATATGCTGATTCGTATTTTATACAAAAAAGTTTCCCTTATCAAATTTTGTATTTATATGTTTCTTCCGGTAGAAAATCTTGCAATTTGTAAAAAAATGTTTTCTACACTAGTAGGTGCGCCAATGTAATATACAAGGCTGTGATATTAGCTAAGTAAAAAATGAACGTATATACATGTATGTAATTGTAATTGGAGAAGCATTATACGAGAGGTACTTTTGCACACATTGTTATAGGGACGTTCACAAATTCACGGCCGTTACTCAAAATGACGTGTTTCCGAGATCATTTTAAGACAAAAATCCTAAATAACAAATTGTCGAGGATATAATAAATTTTGCGAGTTTATAAGCGTTTGAAGGTGATGAATGATTTACGTTTTGCGCCTTTACTATATACATATACATATATAATATGTATATATTTATATACTATATAATATGTGCAATCATATACAGGGTGTCCCAGAATTGGTGTAACATCTCTCGTAGACGGGTAGAAGGAGTAAAACTGTGTCGATAAGTCCTGTACCATTTTGCTAGATTCGCAATAATTACCGAGATCTTATAATTAACAAAGATCCGCGAATAAGCTTACGTCGGGCTGTCTTACGTGAATAGGACAGCCCGGCGCGCTTCGCACGATATACATTTTTAATATATGTATGTTAGTACATGCTGTTATATTAAGCTTCTCCCAGCTGTGTTACGCGCGCAAGACAGCTCTAAGACTTTTTGACTCAGTTTTAATCCTTCTAATCTGTCTACGAGAGATGTTACACGAATTCTAGAACACACCCCGTATATGTATTTATTTACTTATATGAGTGCACGTTAGGATTTTTTCTCAAAATGATCTAAGGAAATCATTTAAGTTATGGTTATGAGTTTTTTTTACACCGTATATTTTATCTACAACTTGATTTCATATCTTTACAGGTAATTTAAAGTAATTCGTTTTTTTTTATATATGTGTACAGCTCCAATCGTGTGTATGTGTCTCAAAGAATGCAAAAAAGTGTATAATTCCGAATATAAATTAAAATTAAAAATAAATGCCAGGAAATTTCATTCTTTAGAAATGCGAGACGTGTTTGTATTTCGTCGGAGTACTTTTAACATAAATAAACAAAACAGCGAAATTAAACTAGTTTAAGAAGTGTTTTGTGGAAAAATAGCTTATCTCCTTCGAATCCGGTTGCACATCCCGTCCGATTATCCCGATTCCAATTGACCAATCGCATCGGTCGATACGTTTGTACATACGTAAGTATCGTATTCGCGTTGACGCGTGCGCAGGTTTCGCAACCAATCCCAGAATGGACACATTTCTCGTGAACGATGATTGGCTAATGGCTATACATGATGGGTTCTTCGATCCGACCAATCAGGTTAATTATCTTGATTTATCTGACAATTTTGATGTTCCCGCGAAATTGTTGGTTGTCGTTTGCCTAATGATATATGACCATGTTCTCCGCGTATTTCCGCTTTGTATATTTCTCCGAACGTAAGTAATTGTTTCTTCCATTATGCTTTTTACGAAATTCCGAATCAATCTGCGACACACATTTATTCGGTTTAGCACACACCGAAGCAGTCTTTTGTTTAACAGAACGTGCGTATCTCACGTGCGCAGATCCTACTTGCGTGCAAATCGTCGTGATCTCGTTCGGTTTTGGGACCACATATATTTGGTTTACATATATAACGGATTATTGGCGTTTCTTGTTTATTCGAGTTTGATAAGTTACGTCCGGAATAAAATTATATTTACGGGAACGCGAAAGTATACCGTCTAAATATTGAACAATATAATTTTGTGTTTTTGAGAAATCGAAAGAGATGAACGTTACAGGTCAGGTTTGTGTCATTTGTAAATGTTTCATATATACGTCTTACGTTTTTTTTTTTTTTTTTTTTTTTTTTTTTGATGACTAGCAGGATAAGATTGCAAAAATAAAATATAGTTTTGTTGTATATAATGTACTAGGAAAAAAATCCTTCTTTTTCTCTTTCTCTTTCTCTCTTCTTCTTTCTCTTGTTTTATATAACATTTTTATATATTAAAATTATATATAGTTTAGAATTTTATAAGGAAAAGATTATGCGCACAGAATATAATATATAATTATAACTATCATAAATGTATCATATTTACTTTCTCTAAGTACTCCTTTTTGTTTTAGGTTTTTAAGTAGCTAATCATTGTTGCTGTGATATATATAATAAATTATTTTTGATAAAAAACATGGAAGAAAGTACGACTCGTTGGTGCTCTGCTCCCGGCTGTATGTTGAACATAAAAATAGCAAAACGTCATTTCTTCAAATTTCCAAAAGAAAGAGAAAGGTATGTACTTGTATTTAGTGCAATAAATAATGCAAATTTGTAATTTAATTAAAGATTACTTCGTTATTTATCTGCCACAATTTTAATAATTGTCAAAATTGTAAATTGTAATTTGTACAATAACAGTTTTATACTTTTTTTTTTTTAATAGATGGCTAGAATGGATTAAAGCATGTGACAGAATGGATCTAATAACAGCAGGTCCTGAATATGCTAATCGATTTTATCGTTTGTGCCATTTGCATTTTCGAGTAGAATTATTTCGAAACATAGAAGGAAAAATTTATCTCAACAAGGAAGCTGTGCCATCCATATTTCTGAAGCCGATACAACCAGGACAGTAAGTAAACATTTGTATTTATAGTTATTAAAAAATTGAAAATGTGGTCTCAAAGAGTTAGAGTAACTGATATGCGCCATCTTCTTGCAGTAATTACTCTGGATCACAGTTTATACAACCAGTTTCATTTGTAACCATATTTTTGAAACCAGAAAGTAGAAACAGGTAATCTAGCAAATTTTCTATAACCTTTATAACCTTTATAACAAAAGAATGGAACAGAGAATTATTGAGTAATACGTTTTTTTGACAGACATTCTTTAGAATCGACACCATCCGCACAATCAGTGGTATCTCAGACACTTACCGAACCTGAGAACAAGCAAGTTCCTATTTTATTATTCGATTAATAATTTAAACCGTTAAATGCCATATATCAAGCATTAACACATTATGCTGTATTAATTACTTTTTTCGCATAATATGTTAAAAGAAACAAAAAATAATGTATTTTATTACATCACGCGCGTGATGTAATGAAATACATAATTTTTTGTTTATTTTATTATTTTCTAATTAATATAAACTAATTTCTTAACAGAGACACAGCTATAATTTCGCCTTTACAAGCTCTCTTTCCAAGAGCTACTATCAAGCAGGCATGCGATGACAGGTAATTTGTCTGTTTGTGTGGATGTGAGTCGGTTTTGTTTGCCATTGTTAAGTCTAATGTATTTTTTGTAGTACTATACCGTCGTCTCAGACAACATTACTAAAAGAAAAATTAGAGAACAATAAAGAGTGAGTTGAAAAAATTTATATTTATTTCAATCTAAAATGCTTCTTTGATAAGAATTTACATGGATTCTATTCATATTTGAAACTTTTCTTTGCAATAAATATTTGAAGCATTTATTTGCAATAATCAAAATTTCGAAACCAGGTTTTAAAAAATGTGGAAATAAAAAAACAAAATGTTTTTCTTTGTTAATAGAAACGTACTCACAGAAGATGTACAACTCGTCAAAGAGACAACTGTGAATTCGGTAATACCGACGACAACATCACAAATACATCCCAAAGAAAAATGTGTTGATGAGTGAGTTTTGATTTTAGAAAACTGACTTGTGTGTCTTTTGTTAATTGAAATTAAGTACAACGCACAATGATGTTTTGTTCAACAGAGACATCATAGATCTAACAGCCACGGACAACACTTGGGAACCACCTCTTTTACCGAGAAAAACGTCATGGTCGCCGAAGCCGTCGTCGCCGAAAACGTCAACGAAGAGAATACGCTGGCACGTGTGCACGCAGACACCGGACGCGTGGCTGTACATCGATACCTTTCTGCGAAAACGATCAATCGAAAACTCGGAAACTCACATCGAAAATACGGTCGCGAAACGGAGGAAAATAGACAAGGAAGATTATCGCGCGATTGTGGATGAATTCAAAGCGGCGTATGCGGAATTGTTGCCGCGCAATTCCTCCCTAGTGGTGTTGGCGTCTATCAACGCTCGCGAGAGACGCAAAAACGGAAAAACTTTCGAAAACAGACAATTTGCACTTAAGTTGTTCTTCATGGCACCAAATGCGTACCGATTCTATCGGTCGTTGTGCCTGTTGCCTACTGTGCGCCAGTTGTGGGCACACATCCGCAACTGGGACATTCCACCCGGCTTAAACGACAACGTGCTGAACGCGCTACGTTTGAAGATAAAGTCGCTGCCGCCGATAAGAAGACATTGCTGTCTGTGTGTGAAGGAAATGCAATTACGACCGCATCTTTTCTACAATCTGTCGCGTGATAGAATAATTGGTTTTCACAATATTGGTACGGAGAAGCGACGCACGCTCGCAAGAAAGGCTCTCGTTCTGATGGCACGTGGATTGGCTAACGATTGGCAACAGCCGATTGCTTACTATTTCCACGGCGGGACGTGTTTCGCCGGTGTCATAAAAAATCTGATACTCGACGCGATTACCAAGCTCAAGAGCATCGGTGTGCCCGTGCGTGTTCTGGTCACCAGCACGGCGCCTACGTTTCTGCGGCTGTCGCGACAACTGGAGATTTCCGCGGAACATCCGTCATTTCAAGTGGACGATGAAAGCGTAATCTTTGTTTTCGACGTTCCGCGTTTGATAAGAACGACCAGAAATGTGTTGATGAAATATGATCTCAAGTTTCACGACAAGACAGCTTCCTGGACGGATATTGAAGAGTTCTTCAAATACGATAGTAAGTTGCAGGTGCCACTGAGTAAACTATCTATAGGTCATTTTGAGCCTAACGCGCAACAAAAGACGGAAACCAAGTACGCCGCTGAAGTGTTTAGCTACAGGGTGGCCTCGGGCTTGAGTGCGCACTTCGCAGCGGGCAGATTTCCATTACGAGCGATCGGCACGATAGAGCTTGTTGACAATTTCGATCAGTTGTTCGAGTTTCTGAACTCTTCCACACCGCCCGATCGAAATTCAAAGGATACCGGAAGATTCTGCCACGCTTTTACGGGCAACGTGCACGAGTTATCATTCCTACACCGAATGTTGGACTTTCTGAAAACGATCAAAGTTATCGGCCCAAATGGCACATGCATCAAGTCGATCAAGTGCTTTGATCGTTGGCAGATCACGATCAACGCGATCATTCAGCTGTGGGACGTATTGAAGAGCCATCAATTCCCTTTCCTCTGCACGAGAAGACTGACTCAGGAAGGCATCGAGCACATCTTCCGCTCTATTAGACGACAAAGTGGAAACCGCGCCAGACCGACGCCCATCATGTTTACTCGCGCGTTCAAGAATCTCGTCAGCAAGCACTTTCTCGAGCATACGAATGAGGACGATTCCGATGTGAACACGCGGAGAATGCTCAAGCGGCTGGCGTCTGCGTCGTTTCCCGACGAGATTTCGCCCGTTCCTACCGCGCTGATCCCTCTGAGCGTCGCGGCGACCAACTATCGCGACATCGATCTGCGGTTGCCTGAGAAAAGTGCGTTCAAGCGTGTGTGCGAGTTCCTGCTCAATGAGTGCCTCCGTGTGCACATCAATTGCGACACCTGCGCCGTGTACGCCACTAAAGAAGGCAAAGACATGACTGGCTTCAGCTTTTATGTTTCCGGCTTGGAGGACACGTTCATGCGTAATTTCGAGGAGCTCTCGATTGAAGAGAATCTCGGCGCCCAGATGCTGCACTTAGCGCAGCAAGTCAGCTACAAACCGCCCTGTCCGAATTTCCCCGTAGCTTTTCTGATCAAGTTGTTTCTACGTATGCGTATATACTTCACGCTTTCGCGACACAACAAGATCTGCAAGAACGCGGAATCGCGCAATTCCCTAAGCATGATAAAGTTGTGAGAGTTTCGTTTCCCCGTTGTCTCTTTTGTTTGCGTTTATAGTTTTAACGATATTTAACGGTTGTTTTGATATTTTTTATGTTATTCAGTTTGATTTGTTTTTTTTTTCCTGTCGTATTTTATGTTATGTTTTGATTGAGTATAGTTGTCTTGCATGCAGAGCGCGCGATAATACGTTAGAAATTAATTGTTTCTATGTCAAAGATTAGATTAGGAAAAAAAATGAGTTCTTTGTCTGCGTGTGATTATCAGCCGTACAAGACCGTTCTGTCGAGCAATATATAGAATATTTTAGCGAGCAGGAGGTAATTCTTCGTGTGCGCATGATGTAAGATAAAATTTTTTTTTGGACCACGTTTCAAATTCAATTTGAAAATCAAAAAATTTTTTAACGTATTTGCAATTTTGTTACGTTCTGGCCTCTGATAATTTTGTGCCAAACATTAAATGCATTTTAAATATATTTCGATAACAATTTATTAATATATAAAAAAAAAAAAATTACACAATACTCCATTTCGAAAAAAAAGTTTTCAAAAATTACGTATACGTAATTTTACTAATAAAGTGATTTTTAATTGCTCTATTGAACGGAGAAGAGTGTATTTTTTTTAAATCTATTAATAACTCGAAGGTGTCTTGAATGTTTTTTTTTTTTTTTTTTTTTTTTTTTTTTTTTTTTTTATTTTTTTCCCATGAAGAATCGTTCCTGCTCGCTAGTACTACAGGACTCCCTGTATTTATAAATGTTGTTAAAAACTTCAAATTTTATTATTCGAA